TTTGATATTGATTTCTGCGCGTAAATATAAGACACACAATACCTCTTTTTACATAACGGAGTAATTAACAACCACTTCACATGACTGAATTATCAAACCAAATCACTGACGACGAGCAGCTACTGCCATCTTGTGAAATGGGGCACGTGAATGTATAAGCATGGAAGTTTGCATCAATAAAGGCGAAGTTAATTTTGTACAAATTACGAGACAAATACAAATCCATCCATCACTAGCCTGGTTACCTTCCCATTGTTTCCTGGGTACGTGATACTCTCCTCCCACGGACCCACGAAACAATTAAGATGGTCACCAGACTGACCTACCTCATACATACAACACAAATGATAGAAACTCAAAATTCTTCAGACTATAGAATTTATTTTTCCCAAATACAATTAATAACAATCCCTATAATGGGAATTGATAAGAGTTCTGTAACATTTGGATATTGAATTTTACGGTTTATTTGGTGGAACAATGTACCATGAAACTGGTGTAACATATTATTGAACATCAATCAAGCTGATTAAATGGTTTAAAATTCGTCTCGTATATTTGTATGCTATCCAATAGGTCAACACTTTCACGTATTGTCATGATACATGAAAAACGTTGATGGCATAATTCGCACATTGAGCAGAAATTCGGAGAGGAACTCTTGATATATGGTCATTAGTGCCCACACTGGGGCATATGTAAATGTTATCAGTCCCATGACGTTGAGCGATCTATCGCTGTAGTCCCAAGAGCAGGCATTGAACTGGCGTAGAAACAAACCCCAAATGAATTCCCATAGGAACACAAACCCGACGTAAGCAAGCACTCGCATGGATGTTGGAACCCGGTGCCTGTGCCACAGAAACACGTACAGTCGTTCGATGATGTAACTACACATACCATACAAAAAGAATGAGTATAACGACGTGTATCCCGTTAATTTCCGATTCGTTCTCAAGAAAATGTAATCATAGATAGCGGTGAAAACAACCTCGTCAAAGAATCCATGCAGTCCATACAGTGTAAACCTCATGAAGGGTGGTAGCGGTTTGCCTATAACAGAACCCCTGGCGGTCATAGTTCAAACTTATAACTCAGTATGGCAACAGCAAATTTGAATTTTCTGTTGAAGTCTGTAGAACATTCGACGTGACACGTGAGCCGCTAATCCACCAGGAATCCGGTGCATAACTGTTCAACTGTTAAACAACAGTTTAATTCTGTCTTTAACTTGCCAAGCGACTGATGGGCTACGTGAGTCAGCCATTATCACAGCGTACCGTCCTCGTTCGCGGTCGTATGTTTCTCGTCAGCTCGACCAATAAAAGAAAAAAAACAAAAACATTCTTATTAGGTTTGACTGTATATATGTTTTAAGTAACAGCTGGCTATGAGTTCGAGAAAAGAAAATGAACAGAGAACAAATTGAATAAAAAATACAGGGAAATTTATATATAAAACACGTACACGTTTGATAACCACAATAAGAGTACAATGTAATTTAAGCATGATTCTGAAAAAAAATATCATCGCTTATTTTATTTGAAATGTATTTTGAAAGTGGGAGGGGGGGGACTTTTTTACGAACACATCCAGAACTTTTGTGTATGTATTTTAACACCACTGTTTAAAGAACTCACTGATTTTGAAATATAAATATTATACAGTTATTTCCCTCACTTGAACACTTGTTGAAGCCGATATCAATAATTAACTTGAATATCGTTCCTAATCGGTTGTTATTCATGTTGGCCCGGAAGCCGAAGCCAGGGACATTTTTTTTATTATCCTGAAAAAGAAAAAAAAAATGACTGGAAGCGAGGTAAAACTGTGAGCCAAAACCCAAACTTAAAATCAAAATGCATGGAGAAAAGTATTCAAAAGTGTCATCCACCCGCGTTCGACCAATAACATTGACACACACAAATGTTCTCTCAGACTAGTTGAATGATACAAATAAATACCGATAGCTGACTCGTCTACTTATCTCCATTTAGCTGAAAGTGTTGATTCTTATCTGTTTAAAAGAAAAAAAATGGCTCGTCAATTACGACAAAAATTCCTTTTCCGATTTATTGAGCAAAATTCTGCTCACAAAATTTTGCTCACCCAAATGTTGCCTCATGTTTCCTTTGATTGTTTTCTGTGTCTATTCTTGTAAGTTTTTCCTTTAGAGTTTATTAATTTTCTTTTGGGCTTGTTCTTGTGCTTCAGATAATACGTTTTAATATATCGCTGTAGTGATCGGTAAATTAATTTTAAACAGTATAAACCGTTTGTAGGAAAAACGATTAAAATCAAATTGATATGCATTCAAAACCGGTTAGCGAACGAGGATGGCGATCACGTGGTCTGTGTTACTGCCGGTTCTTTTTTCGGACTGAACGTTTTCTCTTAGTGCTGTGTTCGAAATATGACTGTGTAGTTTTATTCGAATGCAGTGAATTTTCACATTTTGCTGCTGCGAAAACTTAAGACGACCATAGGCAGTTTATTCGTTCACCCAGACTCTCGTCAGACGTGTTTCTGAGAACAGTCTAGAGTGCAACAATATTCAATAGTAAGTTGACTCCGGGGTTGACTGCGCAACTGTGATCTTGAATATTCGCCTGCCATGGGGTTCAGACCGACGTACAGAAAACCAGCAGTGATCGGTAGACCGCTGGCATGGTACGCCAGATTCTTCTTTTACGGACTTCACGGATTCTTTGACGAGATTGCTTTCACGGCCGTGTACGACTTCGTCTTTCTGAAGCCCGATGTTAAGTTAATAGGGTACACTTCCCTCTACACGTTTGTTATCTACGGTTTGTTCAGCATGATAGCCGAGCGACTGTATATTAACATGTGGTATAAACACCGTGTTTCAATTGTGATACGAATGATTTCATACTTGGCGATTGGCTACACATGGGAGTTCTGCTGGGGCCTGATATTGCGCCAGTTCGATGCATGTTCCTGGGATTACTCCGACATACCACTGAATGTGATGGGACTGATTACTTTTTCATATGCTCCTTTCTGGCTACTACTGAGTGCATACCAAGAATGGGTTTTCGAGTTTATTTTCAAATTGCGTGTCATCCTCCCATCGGTACCGTTATCTGTAAGAGAGAAGTTGCTGCTATTTCGAGTTGGAAACGAACCAATGGCAGAAGATGATATAATTAAGGATCATGATGACTGATTGGAGTAGAAACTACCATGACAACCATGAATACTGTTTTTCCAACAGTGATGCAACTGGAGAGAAAACAAACAAACTATGGATTCATTTTGCAGTGGGTGGAATTGTGAAAGCTGAAGAAAACAAATTGTTGGCAAAAATCCAGAGGGCAAATAAACATGCATATTTAAATGTATTTTTAGTTGCTATGTATATGTGTGAAGTATCACCATCCATTCTAGACACCTTTAGTGCATACTGGTATCATAAGTTGTATTCATAAAGTCGTGTGTAGAGATAAATGTGTGTAAGTCCATCAACCTAAGAAGGCATTTAGGTCCATTGTTATCTAATATCTCAGTCCTTGCACTTCTGTAAAGTTGTTTTTTTTTTTTTTAGCTAAAGCAAATGTTTGTTGACTTTTCTCTCTGCATATTGTTAGTATTTGTTTGAGTCATGGCCCAAAAGCAATATTAAATGCAAGACAACCAAAGATGACAATGTTTTCATTGTTCAAGGGCTCTTTTGTCATTAGTTGTTTAATGATTAGTTTCAATATGAGGCTCTTTTGTCATGTGTCATGCGGGGGTGGGGGTAGGGGGTAATTAGTTTCAATATGTCACATGATTCTATTTGTAACTAATGCTTTGAATTTAATTATGCATGTAGCCCAGCATCCATCTATGCTGGTTTGCTCGTTTTACATTGTGATATTTATCATCTGAGACAATTGTATCTTCATAAAACAAAATATTATTGAATAATGCTTATATTTTCACGAAATGTTTCAATTATACCGCCTTGTGAACTTGACTGTAGTTCCGTACTGAAATATACTGGCAAAATAAGTTGCAAAATACTGGGAAAATGATGTCATGTAGAGGATGAGGATCACTGTCGTCAGGGATGCCACTGCATATTATCTTACTTGTTTGGTTTTTCAATTTCTTCTTGTATTGCAGTGAGTATTATTATTTACTTTGTGCAAGATGTTGCCCGGCAGAACTTGATATTTTATAATAATGTGCATGTATTATATCATCTATGTACCGTATTTACTCTATAAAAAGTGCTTCTCTAAATGGAAGTGTAAATTAATCAAAAAAATGCATTTATTGTATGGTTAGTTGTTAGTTGATGGCTCATAGCTTCAGTGTTTCATGTACATAGACTGGTCTATTGAATTTTTATTGCTATTTATAACCCTTAGTATTTTGATACCTGCAAGACATATTATATAACAAAGACTAGGATTTATTCATTTGTATTAGTAATTTACTCTCACACTGACATCCCAAAACAACAGAGATGAATAGTACATATACCAATCCTTAGAATGTTTTTTTTTTTTATTTATTTATTTTTTTTATTGCTATCGAGAAAGTCTCCAGTGATATTGTATACTGGTAGAAGTCCACCAACAATAGATTTAAAATAATTCATGTTGACCTTTATTTTGCAAAATGGCAATACCTGCATCTCCTATCACAACCATATTTGTTGCATGTAAAAATAAAACACACTCAAAAGGTGGGCAAAGACTTCAAGAATAGCAGTGTCACTTGAGTTGCTTTCACGATATCAATAAAACTTGCGAATGTGACGCAGAATAAGTTGAATTTGATTACAACCTGCTAGTGCCAGTGCCTGTACTTGTTGCACTACTGTACACATTTTTGATTGGGTAGATTAGTATGGAATATGACATTTTTTTTCCTCTTTCTGTATTCAACAAGTGAGAAATTTGTAATTGCTCATTATGTTAGGGACGACGTCAAAAGATCGATGTCGAATAAAAAACTTATTTCCTTTAGTTTGGGGGTGGGGGGTTTTGACCTCAAAAAGTTTCCATCTTACAAAAACGATTTTATTTTTTAATGAAGTCAAAAAAATCTTGGAGTATTTGTAGTTCGTTTTTTTTCTACTATCCAATCATGAAATAACCGAAAAGGAAAAAAACATCTAAGACGAGAAAATGGTTTGGTTTGAGTGTAAATCTGTGCGTCAAATGAGGTGCATTTGTAAAATCTTTTTACACCCACCCGACAACCAACTGCTATGCAATACTACTGTCCGATTATCAATTTATATTTAATGGTGAATGTAGTCTAACGCCATGACCAATATTTATCAATTAAGTTTCAGAGGGGGTTTTGGAAAAAAACTAAAGGAATTAAGTTTTTTATCCGACATCGATCTTTTGACGTCGTCCCTAAGAGACTTAAATCTGTATTTGATTCATAGATGCGCACAGTATAACCAAGAAAATGTTAAGCTCTTCCACAGGAAGCTTCTTTGAACTTGCTGAAAAAAAAGATTTTTTTATATTGAAATTGGATGCCAAGAATGTATTGATGTTAGTAAGGATTATTGTTAATATGCAGATTTGATGTTATTTGATATATTTCGTTGCATGCTGATAACTGATTACTTCATTCACTCTAATTATGTGTTGGCACACGAATGAGTTTGCACTTTAGTGCAATACAGCGTGGACATAGTACAGGGTTTTATTTCCTGTCAAATGTCTCTCACTTTTGGATCTTCTAAGCTACCTCGCATACTCTTTATGACCAATTACATCTGCTTTTAACCCTTGGCCTCATTCTTTGAACAGTTGCAAGAATGGTAGAGGTTTGGGGATTGACAGCTAAATGCAGCCACAATGCAAGTTTTCCTTCTGCAAGGAGTATCTGCTTGTACTTTCCCTTTTTTTTTTGTATAAATAATTATCACATTATTCAGAAAAAGAATTGGATTCACAGTATAGATTCTAGAGAGGGATTTTATGTCTAAAAATATCTGTCTACAATAAATGTCATAAATTTAGATTTTGTCAGTAAATTACAATTATATAACATTGTACATATGAAGTTTGAATTACTCTTGATTATTTGTGGAGGGTGGAAAATGACTCTTCTTTCTTTAAACAGTATTTTCAGAACTTTATCATTTTTCAATTTCTACAACCACCTTCTCTGAAATCTGCATATTTTGCTCACTCTAAATCATTTTATGTCACGGGGTTGAATGTTTTTATTGAATTCCCCTTCAGATTTGGAAATGACAAAAAATAGTTTAATGTACCGTACATGTTTTAGTTCTATATACATGTATTTTTCATTGTAAAGATATTATTCAATGTATTTTCAAATTTCCTAATTAGTTACCTATTGTTACTCAGTGCCAGTGTGAGACAAGTGTTTGCTGAAGGTAGAAGCCGACTAAAAATGCTTTGGAGGCTAAAAAATTGTGGTCACGAATTCACTAAACTATTTTGTACTGTAAAATACTTTATTTTAGCTGGAATTAATTTTGACTGAAAAGACATTTTGGCTGTTTTGCATGAAGTTTATTTTCACTGATTCATTCCTTCAGCGAAAATAGAAAAACATAAATTCCAAGTAAAAATAAAGTAATTTATAAGTAACTTGTAAAATATTTTATCATTTGTTAATATTTTATCAAAACTAGTGTTATATTGTGAAACAAATATGAATATCCAGGTGCATGTTTTATCTTCTAACTTAAAACATGAATAAATGTGCTGGTTTTTACTATAAATAGTCGATAATATTGCTGTTTTGTAAGTTATATAGATATATTTGAATACTGCAACAAATTCTTGATCCACTTTTTGATCCATTTACAAATTTTAAAATGCAGATAAATGTTATTTTTCTTCCTTTCGTGTCGTGTCGTGTCGTGTCAATCAGTAAACCTAAAAAAATATGAGTCATTCATCGGTAATGATCTTATCTCCTGGGTGTGGTCATAACCTCTACATATCAACCTAATGTATTTTTTAGTACATGGCTGTATTTACAATTGGGTTACTATCATTGATTCTGCTTGATGTTATTTTATTGTAATAAAATATGGTACATGTTTATGTCAATTGTGCCAAAAACTGAAGTTAACAGTTTTAGTGTATATAATCTTGTTGTAAATTAGCTGTTCCACTAATGGATGGAGTGTGTCTTGTTTGTAATTACATGG